AGTGCTTAAGTTGAGTGTCCCAGAGGGCAAACCCTTTTCATAAGCAGCCTCGGTTTCTTTGCCTGTAAAGGAGGGGTAATAATACTGTCATCATAATATTAAGAATAGTAAATTAAATTAAATTAAATGAGATAATATATTGATGTTAAGAGAGACAAATCTAGCTGGGCATGGTGGTGCACACTTGCAGTCTTAGCTACTCAGGAGTCTGAGACAGGAGGATTGCTTGAGATGAGGAGTTCAAGGCTGCAGTGAGCTATGCTCATACCACTGCACTCCAGCCTGGGCAACATAGTGAGACACTGTCTCTTAAAAAGAGAGAGAGAGAGAGAGAAAGAGACAAACCTGGATTCAAATCCCAGCTGTACCTCTCATTACCTGGATGAGTTTGGCAGATCACTCAACCTCCCAAAGCTTGAGTGGCCTCAGCTAAAAAGTGAGGGTAAGAATAACTACTTCATGGGATTATTTTGAAAGCTTCTGGTTCATAATAGAAACCTGACAAATATTAGTGTTCCTCCCATTGCTGTTATGTCTTTTAAGCCTTCTCTGTTTTGCCATGAGTAGGTTACACAGCCACAGCTTTGCAACCTAATTGTTACAGCTTGGGGCAGTCATAATTTATAAATTGAGATGACAAATTGAGAAGAGGTAGGACTCAACTGACCCACCTGAAATATAATATCTGAAAGGAACCAACCAAATACATAGAAAATACTGGGTGTGCCTAAGATGAAGAGCAACCCAGCTGTCTGTGTGCCTTTGTGTGTGTGAAAATATTGATCTCCTGAAACTCACTGTAGCAGTCCATTCTTGAATTGCTATAAAGAAATACTTCGGACTGGGTAATTTATAAAGAAAAGAGGTTTAATTGACTCACAGTTTTGCAGCCTGAGCAGAAAGCATGGTGGCATCAGCTTCTGGGGAGGCCTTAGGAAGCTTCCAATCACGGGAAAAGGCAGAGGGGGAGCACACACGTCACATGGCCAGAGCAGGAGAAAGCCGGGGGGAGGGGAGGTGCCACACACCTTTACATGACCAGATCTTGGCTAGGCGCGGTGGCTTATGCCTGTAATCCTAGCACTTTGGGATGCTGAAGTGGGTGGATCACTTGAGGTCAGGAGTTTGACACCAGCCTGGCCAACATGGTGAAACCCCATCTCTATTAAAAATATAAAAATTAGCCAGGGATGGTGGCGCATGCCTGTAGTCCCAGCTACTTGGGAGGCTAAGGCAGGAGAATCGCTTGAACCCGGGAGATGGAGGTTGCAGTGAGCTGATATCATGCCACTGCACTCCAGCCTGGGTGACAGAGCGAGACTCCATCTCAAAAAACAAAAACAAAACAAAAACAACCAAACAAAAAAAACGTATCTTGCAAAAACGAAATCACTACCATGAGGAAAATACCAAGAGGGATGGTGCTAAAGCATTCAGGAGAAACTGCCCCCATGAACCAATCATCTCCCACCAGACCTCACTTCCAACACTGGGGATTACGATTCAACATGGGATTTGCACGGGAATGCAGATCCAAACCATATCACTCACTTTGCCATTTGGTGTCTGAAAATTTATTCTGTGTTTCTGAGTTGGGTCCCCAAGCTGAGAATACTTGGGAAGGGTGAAGGCATGGCAGTGGGGGCCCCCTGATCTTTGATTTTGGCCTTGATGGTATTGGGGGCACTCCTACGCTGGCAGGCCAGACATGACCAATAATTTGAGTTTTTTGTTGTAATCTTTGTTTACCCCAGATGGAAATTCTTGACTGTAAGACTGAGAAACAGCCATGTCTCTTGAACAAGACAGTAAACCCAGGTGTCATAGATATGGTGTGCTGGAAAGAAAGTGTAGTAGAAACAAGATGGGGGTGGGGACAGACCATTCTGGGTGAATTCCAACTCTACCACTTACCAGTTACATGATCTTGAATCTCTCTGAGCCTCAGTTTAATCCTCATAGTTAATGCTGAGGTAATAATGTCTAGAATTAATTGACATGAATGAGTTTCCTGTATGTAGACATGTCTGACTTACATGTCCCACTTTTGACAAAATAGCTATAAAATGTATAAATATATCATTTTGGAGACTACTTGAAGGCTTATTCTTATTTAAACTAATTCCTAGATCTTAAAGTTATCTTGGGACTTCAGGTATCTTTATTCCAGATCCGAATGGATGGTGACTGCACCCCGTAGTTGGGCCACTTTTAAATCCCTGTCTCTAGGTGTCATGGGTGTCATGAGCAACCCTCATTTAGGATGATCATCACTGAATTGTCCTGACCCACCTGCCTCTTGGTCTCTGCACCAAGATGCTCAGGTGCTTTGGTTGGGTCTTACTAAACCCAGCCACTCAATTCCTCATGTTAACAAGTTGTAATGATTTTATTGCTTTAGTTCTTTAGAGTAGAATAGTATCCTTGATAGCCATCTCAAGCTTTGATCTTGGTTTGTTTTTGTTTTGAGACAAAGTCTCAGCTCTATCACCAGGCTGGAGTGCAGTGGCTCAATCTCCACCTCGGCTCACTGCAACCTCCACCTCCCAGATTCAAGTGACTCTCCTGCTTCAGCCTCCTGAGTAGTGGGATTACAAGCACGTGCCACCACACCCAGCTAATTTTTGTATTTTTAGTAGAGATGGGTTTTCGCCATGTTGGCCAGGCTGGTCTCCAACTCCTGACCTCAAATGATCCATCTGGCTTGGCCTCCCAAAGTGATAGGATTACATGTATGAGCCACTGCACCTGGCCTGATCATGGTGTTGAAAGTAGATTCCAAACGATCAACTCTCTAGAAGCTCCTTATTAATTATAAATACGTTTGATACCTGGGTGAAACTTATCCTTCAATTAGTGACATAAGGTTGATGTTTCTTAAATATTTTAGGTATCAACTACACACAAATATCATTAGACCACACACGCACAAATATGACGTTTAAATGTCTATGGCCTATAAATTGACAGGCAGTTTGACATGGAAAAGCCAAAATGTTTAATTTAGGTCCCTGTCTCTACCTAAAATTGAGCCATCTCCTTATGGCTGTTTAAAGCACCTGAATATGATGATTTTTTCTGTTTTCTTCTACAGATATTTAGTGCTGTTCCACCAGATAGTCAATGGGGGCACAATACCAGCAAGTTCCAGTCAGGATTCAGCTGGTGAAAGGGCAATTATGTTAAGCATAGGCCACAAAGTGATCTGGGAAGTGTTTAATCAACAAGTGGTCCCAGTATAATAACTGGTGACTGGGTGGCCTTGGAACTGAGTTTTTAGCACATTGGCTGGGGGACTGAAAGTGAGTCCCAGTTCACCCCACCCATACAGAGATCTCTTGCTCATTTCAGACCTGCTCATTGGAGTAGCTGCTTGCTACCAAGAGCCAGAAAAAAGAAGCCCAAGACTTGTTTCTTGCCCTCTTGATCTCTGACATCATGCTCTAAAATTATGAAGCAAAATGATACTTTCTGTAGCATTGTCTAACTTTGGGAGAGATGAGACTCTTGCTATGGAGGAAGCATGGGAAGATGAGAAAGATGGTGGATGCTGATAGGGCCTGGAATTTGGTGTGGGCAGGTTTTGAGTAACAAGAAGGGATAACATCACCTAGCCTTCTGTGCTGTCAGCCAGCCTGGGTTTCTGACCATTCCCAGTATCCCCAGGTTATAAGAAGGCAGTCGCTACAAAAACCCATGTAAAAATATTTATCAATGTATTTATCAGTATTGGCTGCAGGAAACTAGACTACATTAATCAGGGTGAATTCAGCTCTAGGAGATGCTTTCATTGACATTTCAGGGATAAATAGCTGACATGGCCGGAACCCAAATTCCCCTGGAGCCTTTGTTAACCAAATGAGCACAGGTTCTGTCCTGTCAGGAGCTTCTGCAGCCTTGGCTAGACCAGACAGGGATCCATTCCAGGCTCTAGCCCCTAGCTGTGTCCTCCAGAATCCATAGCCTGTCAGTGGACCTGGGGCCCCAGCGCTTTCATGCTTTCACAACCAGCACCCCTCTTTGCCTTGGGTTTTGGGCTACAAAACAGCCAAAACTAAACAGTCCAGGACCACTCAGACATGGCCTTCCCAGTGGCCTCTCTTCTCAGGAAACTGTCACTCTCAGAGCCCACTCTGAGCTTTGCAGCCCCTGGGCAACAGAAGGTTACAGGAGGATTATCAAAGGATTAGGGGGCTCTGCTGAGTGAGCATGTATAGGGTGTTTCTGCCAGAGTGATTTTTCTGAAACAGTCCTGATCATGCCACCCCTCTATAACTCCATGTCTCCTACAGCTGTGTTTGAAAAGTGTCACCCAACCATCCCCTGCATCAAACTCACCCTGGGAAGGGAGGGATTATTAACATGCAGACTCCTGGGTCCACTCTCTGGCCATTGAATCTGAATTTCTGCACGTAGGGTTCAGGAGCCTACAGTTAAAACAAGCTCTCCTTGTGATTTTATGTTCATGAAAGTGTAAGAGCCAAGGTACACCACAGGATAAAGTCCAAATGGCTTAACATGGTGTACAAGGTGCACCAGCACATAGCTTAACCTGTTTCTATCTTCCCTGGAAGCACCTACCAAACCCACATCTCCCCACTTCTAGCCATACTGATACATCTTGGAGAACTTGCCAGGGTCTCTCTATCACTCCCATGCTACCCCCATTCTTAGTGTACTCTCTCTACCATTTCCCCCCACCCTTACTCTTCCCCCTTGTTATTCTTTTAGTCTTCTTAACAATGAGTTTAGTGATCATCTCCTTTGGATCAGGCATGCCTCTACTTCCTCCCTCTTAGTGAAACTCACCCTGAATCATAACACTGGGTATCTGCCTTTCTCCCTATTGGACATTGAGCCCTGCAAGACTGGGAACTGTGTCTTGTCCTTGGTTTCTCCGTGCTTACTATGCTTCTTGACCCATAGTAGGGGCTCAGAAACAGTTGAGAGCTAACAAAGGTCTTCAGTTAGAGATACCAGAGCTTTGAGTCTATTTGGGTTGAGCACGTCTTCTTAACAAAACCTGAATATTGATGGTTTTTAAATTCTGGTCTCTAAAGGACAATAAGATTAATAAAGAAGAAATAAACCCAAGATATGAGATTAACTGTGTACATTTAAGTAAAGATTAAGTTAGGTATAACATACGGAACAAATTACAAATAGAGGTACCACCACAGTGTGGCCCTGTTTTAACTCTGCAGAGCCACCCACCTGAGGCTGGGGTTGGACTGGTGAGAGTGGCAGATGGGTGGGCTGCCACTGGGAGTGGGGGAACCCAGGACCTGAAACTAAAACATGTACCTCACCCCAGGACTTTCAAGGAGAAAGGAGAGAGGTCTGAGTGGGCTTTTGTCGGTGTACTAAGGGTCAGTGCTCCTAAGATCAAGTAACAACCATACCAAGTCTTAAAGGTAGGAATTAGAGTAGAGGCCACAAACAACACCATCAGTGAGGGTCAGGGGTCAGACAAAAACTGGGCCAAGCATGGGGAAGAGTTTGGGAAAGGTATAGCTGGTATGCTCCCATCAGCTCTTGGGAGGCTTGGCAGGCTCTGCCATGAGGCTTTATAATGAAGGCCTTGTTTTGGGCTGTCAACCAGAGGGAAGTTGTGGGTGCTGGTGAGTGTTCATGGCAATAGGTACCTGTGGAAGGGTGGCACGTGGGCATCGTAGGCAGGAAGTCCTTGATAAGATTCTTCCCAGCCTCCTCTCTCTGCTATTAACCAAGGCTTTTGTGGCTTAACAACAGGCCAGCACCCCTCCCTCTGCTCGGTCAACCATATGTAGCCCCCTTTTCATCTCTTGCTCTCCCAAAATGAACTCAGATCATGAAATGGTGCACCCATGAGTTCGCACGTTTGAAACTTTATTAACACCCCTGAAGTTCTTTCTTTTTGCAGAGGCCTCTGACAGAAGATGCAATTTCCCTAAACAGCCAGCTCCTGTTACTTTGGCAGACCTTTCAACCTTAGCCTGACAAGAAGCTTGTGTCCGCCTCCCTGCATTAACTGAGTCTTTTTCCAGAATCCCAGGGTGTGTCAGCAGCAGTGTGTGTATTCCAAATGGCTCACTGTGCATGTTTCTTTAGCTTTCTTACATCCTTTTGTTTTATTATTTCCAGCTTGGCCCGTATTTGCCATATTTTTCCACTTAATCAAAAGGTCGAATGAAAGAATGTCTATTCATCAGATTTCCATGGAACCATGCCAATAGGGAGTATCATGAAGGCGAGTTGTCCTGGCTCCCCACCTCCATCCTGGCCCTGCTGCTCTCTGCTTCGCTGTGTATGCACAACCCCACAGGTGCCTGTCTCCAGGTGGGAATGGCCACTCTCCGGCTCTCCGCATATGGCTTCAGCATTGTTTCAACCCCCTTCTCCATCCTACCTTGCTGTTACAGTTCCAAGATTTGTTTCTCACTAGTGTTTTAGGCCCTGCAACCACACTGTGTTTTTGAGAGAGAGTCTGACATGTATATGCAGTACATGCCATTTGGCCTTTGCTTGATACATGTCTGCTTCTCTGCTGTTCTTTTTAATTAAAAGGGAGAGAGGTATGTATACGAGCTGGAGCAGGACTGGGGCCGTTAAGACTTGAGCCTGGTCCTGGCTCTGGCATTGAGTTTCCCGCTGACCTCAGGCAAGTTCCCTAAACCTTGGCTTTTTTACTGGCTTTAATGAGTAGCCCGGCTGTTTCTTGGAAAACATGTTAAATATGTTGAAAATGCTAAATATTGAAAATACTTTCTCAGCTGCATCCTTTGGCAAATTCCAGATTCTTTTCTATCCCTTTTTGGTTTTGCAAGGTCCAAGGTCAGATATCCTAGTTTCCCTCTGCCTAAGCCTCTTCAGTTAGCTGGCTCAGTTTTCATGGAAATAGGAATATGAGGCATAGACATTCATTAACTGTAGCTGTTAAAATTCCCAAGCAAATCCAAGTAGAATGTGGTTATGAAAGCCAAGGCCTGTTGCCAAAGAAAGATGTATGTGTGTGTATGTGTGCGTGTGTGTGTGTGCACGTATGCGCGTGCGTGCATTGTGGGATATGTGCTTATTATATAACTTCTGATCCTTGATCCCTGGATGTTATCCAGTGAGTAGCTGGTTGGATTTGGGGCTTAACATGGCTTGGGAGCTGTTTGGAGCCTTGGTGGGAACTAGATGACTCTGTGTTGTCTCAATCCTGCTGTGTAAATAGTCTCTTCTCCTGATTCATCTGCCACAGCCCAGCTGCTTTTCGGCTCCAGTGATCCTGCTTACTGAGTCTCCCAGAGACAGAGATCTGAATGGTCGGTGAGGAGCCCGTCCCAGGCTGGCAGGAAGGATTCTGGGCACTCTGGGGACATCTTTCATGTCCTGTACCGTAAGATATTTTCCATGTGGGACTTCCAAGCTTGCTCTGTCAAGGAAATTTAACATCCTCTGCAGCTGCTTGAGTTTCTCTGGAGAGAGCTGTGTGTCCCACCTGAGCTGAGTTCACTTCCCTGTCTAAGCTAAGCTCCTTCCTCAGAGCTGGCCCAGGGCCCATTGCTGCCACCAGCGACAGGGGCCTGCAGGCCTGTTACAGCATTGACTTAGTCTGGAAGGTCATATATCTGGCTGTTGGATGAATAAAAAATAATATTTTCATCCTATCGCTTAAGTTACCCAAGCTCAGCTGCTGTAACCAGAGACCCTCACTAACTTGGGCCACCTAGTGGTCTGAGGGGAGTGTGCTGCAGTCCTGCTCCACACAAACGCTCAGGGACCCAGAGTCCTTCCATCTTGTGGCTCTGCCATCCTGAGTCCTTGAGGCTGTTTTCGTGGTTGAAACTGGGTTACCATAAATCCACATTTCAGATGGCAGAGTTGGGGAAGAGAGCGTGGAGGGGCACTCCTTCTTGGACTTTGCACACATCCTTTCTACTTTGTTCTGCCGGAGAAAACTTAGTGACAAGGCCACACCTTACTATGAGCTTGAGAAATGTAGCTCTTACCTGGGCGACACCACCCACAGAGTTATTACTCTGTTACTGTGGAAGAAGAAAATAATGAATTTGGATGCATAGCTAGCAGCCTCCCTACATTCCATCCTTTTAAATCATTCAGATACTCTGTGAATTGTGAATTCAAAGCCTGTTGTCAGCCAGCTTCGTGGGTGTGTGGCCTGTTTAGTTGCACAGGATTCTACACTCATAGGGCTCTGCATTTGATTTAATGCTCTGTTACTGCCTTCTTGAAAGTCTAATTTTTTTAACAAGGTGACCACATTTTCATTTTGCACTGGGCCCCACGAATTATGTAGCCTGTTCTGTCTGCTTTTTCCCAAATTAACATTTTTATTCTACCCAATTCAGCATTTAATGAAAATACATTTTGTAGCAAGATACCATGAAAGATCATGTGAGGGATGCAAAGATGAGTAAAATTCAGTATCAGAGATTTTGCAGTCCATTAGGGAGATGGGAGAAGTGAAGTAAGTTGTCATTTAGAAGAGTTGTGCACATATGGTTGTGAATATTCACGGAAACGAAGGCAGCTTCTGCTTGATGGTGATGTTGGCAGGGGTGGTGGCTGGTGGTGTAAGATATTTGCTCTGGGTAGAATATTTTAATTTTTATTTATATTTATTTAATATATTGTAAAATATTTGTAGAGATGGTATCTTGCCATGTTGCCCAGGCTGGTCTCAAACTTCTGGGCTCAGGTGATTCTCTCAAAGTGCTGGGATTACAGGCATGAGCCACAATGCCCAGCAGGGATATAATATTTTTAAAGGAACCATTTCAGGCATATAAAAATATAGAGAATAATCTTAAAAATACCTGTGTGCCCACTACTTTTTTTTGTCAATTCTTAAGGTATTGCTATGTTTGTGTCATGTATTTTTAAGAAATTTAAATATTACAGATACAGTTGAGCCTCCTTTGTAACTCTCTCTGATCTCATCCCCTTCTTTCCCCACCTAGGAATAGACCATCACTTCCTGAATTTGGTGTTTATAATCCTCATGCATGTCACAATATTTTTTTGTTTACTATATACACATGTATCTATAATATTTAGTATTTTACATGTTTTAAATTTTATAAAAATTGCACCATACTTCACTTACTAATTCAGAAAATAGCTTATTTTTAAAATAATTTCAACCTCTATTTTACATTTAAAAAGTTTATATGCAGGTTTATTACATGGGTGTATTGTGTGATGCTGAGGCTTAGGGTATGATTGATCACATCACCCACGTGGTGAGCATAGTATCCAATAGTTAGTTTTTCAACCCTTTCTCCCTTCCCTCCCTGCCCCCTGTAGTAGTCCTCAGTGTCTATTATTATTATTGCCATCTTTATGTCCGTGAGTACCCAATGTTTAGCTCCCACTTATAAGTGAGAACATGTGGTATTTGGTTTTCTGTTCCTTTTTAATTTTCTTAGGATATTGGCCTTCAGCTGCATTCATGTTGCTGCAGAGGACATGATTTTGTTCTTTTTTACGGCTTCGTAGTATTCCATGGTGTATGTGTGTGTGTGTGTGTGTGTGTGTGTGTGTATATATATCTCACATTTTCTTTATCCAGTCTACTGTTGATGGGCATCTAGGTTGATTCCATGTCCTTGCTATTATAAATAGTGCTGCAGTGAACATATGTGTGCATGTGTCTTTTTGGTACAATGACTCATTTTCTTTTGAGAAATAAATCATTCTGGATGATTTATTGGGATTGCTGGGTCAAATGGTAGTTCCAAGTTCTTTGAGAAATCCACAGTTGCTGAACTAACTTACACTCCCACCAGTGGTGTACAAGCATTCCCTTTTTTCCTGTCTCGACAGCATTTATTGTTTTTTGACTTTGTAATGATAGCCTTTCTGACTGGTGCAAGATGGCATCTACTTGTGATTTTGATTTGCATTTCTCTGATGATTAGGGATATTGAACATTCTTCACGTGTTTGTTGGCTGCTTGTATGTCTTGAGAAATCTGTTCATGTCTTTTGCTCACTTTTTAATGGAATTGTTTTTTGCTTGCTGAATTAAGTTCCTTATAAGTTCTGTGTATTAGACTTTTGTCAGATGCATAGTTTGTGAATTTTTTCTCCCATTCTGTAGGTTGTCTGTTTACTCTGTTGACAGTTTCTTTTGCTGTATAGATGTTCTTTAATTTAATTAGACCTCACTTGCCAATTTTTGTTTTTGTTGCAATTGCTTTTGAGGACTTAGTTATAAGTTATTTCCCAAGGCCAAAGTCCAGAATGGTGTTTCCCAGGTAGGAAGTACTTTATTGAGTAATTGCTATGGCCAAATACTGTTTTAGACATTGGAGATACAGCCATAAAAAAATAAATGAAAATTTCTCCTCTGTATTCCAGAGGGGCAGAGAGATAATAAGCAAGATAAATAAGTAAAAACATGTGGTATGTGACAAAATGACAACTACTAACAATGTAAGAAAAAGCAGAGAAGGGAATGTAACATGAGGATGGCAGTAGAGGAAATCAAAATTTTCCTCAGAGTGACCATGGAAGATCTTGCTGCCATTATATATTTTTAGTAACATTATATTTTGAGACTTACCCATCTGTAGTTCATTTTCGTTACTACATAGCATCCATTGCATGAACAGGTCATACTTTATTTACTCATTTTCTCTTGATTAGCATTCAGATTGTTTTTAATATTTTGCTTTTATAAACAAGGCTGCAAGAAACACACCTGAGCATATCCTCCTGTGCACATGTCCAGTTTCTCTAAGACAGAGTAGACCTAGGAGAAAGGTTTAGGTTGGTGGACATGTACATCTTTAACTTTACTAGATGTTGTCAAATCCTGTCCAAACTGGTCCTATCCATGGACACTCTGCAGTAAATAGTTATCATAGCAGACCCAAAGCTGCTGTTTTCAGAAGGGCCTGCTTGCAAGGCTAACCCTTAGCTGGCATCTGGGAACTTGGGTTTCTGGAGTGTTCTTATTGTTCTTTAATGGATAAGCATGGCTTACTGTGCCTAGACTGTGGAAACAATGTGGTTCATGCTGAGCCCTTCCTTTCCTTCTGGGAGTCTGGAATTTTGAAACATGCTAGTTAAAGTGTGCTTATGTGACACAATAAAAACCTTGGGTGCCAAGTCTCTAATGGGCTTCCCTGGGCAGAAGCATCACACACCCGTTGCCACATTTTCACCACTGGGAAATGAATGTACTCTATGTGATCCCTCATGGGAGGGGAAAGCATACAGGAGCCTGTGCATGGATCCCACCAGATCTTTTCCATGTTTTCTTCCCTTATGATCTGGCTGTGTATTCTTACTCCATTGCTGTAATACATCTTAGCCATGAGTACACTTATATGCTGAATCTTCTAAGTCCCTCTAGCATATCTCTGAACATGTCTTGTGAGTCCCTCTACTATATGCATCTCTGAACATAAGGGTGGTCATGGGGACCCTCTTCACACATGCCCACTAGTAGTGAGAGTTCCCAATTCTCCATGATGATGACAGATTTGGTAGCATTCATCTTTCTGATTTTTGCCAACCTAATAGGTGTGAAATAGTATCCCATTGTTATTTGGATTTTTATTTCCTTGATTACTAGTGAGGCTGTGCATCTTTTCACATGCTTAGTGACTATTTGAGTTTCCCCTTCTGTGAAGTGTCTATTTGTATTCTTTGCTAATTTGTCTTTTGGGTTATTTGTCTTTTTTACATCTATCAGAATACTCATTATTTGTTCATTATGTACACTGAAAATAATTTCTTCCTGTCTGCAGTCTGTCTTTATTTTTTAGAGTGTGGTTTGTTCTGTGGAGGTTTTTCATTTTAATGTACTCAAATTAATGAATCTTTTCCCCTACAGGGTGTGTGTGTGTGTGTATGTGTGTGTGCACACGCGCATGTTTTGTTATGTGTCTTTGGAGAGGCTGTATGGAGTAGTGAGTAAGAATATAAGCTCTGGAGCCAGACCATGTGGGTTTAAATCCCAGCCCCATGGCTTACTGTGCAGTTTCGGTCAAGTTTACCTCTTTGGGTTTCCATTCATTCATCTGTTAAATGGAGATAATCATAGTTCCTGCCTATTAGGTAGCTATAAGGATTATGTAATTAAATATATAAAGTGCTTAAAACAGTCCCTGGCACATAGTTGACTCACGAGTGCCATGAGTCCCTGGCACTCATTAGGTGTTAGCAACCAACATTATTAAGAAAACTTTTCTTATCTCAACATGATGAAAACAGTATCTTATATTTTCTTCTAATGATTTTCCACTTTGGTTTTCAAAAGTGGTCTTGGGTACTCTTCCTTTCCCTCTTCTGTTTCCTTTCTTTCTGAGTAAATCATTCTTAAGGCTTTTAGGTGTTAGGGAGCTGGGTAGGTACCCAGGTAGGGCTCAGGGGAGCCTCAGGGGCTATGAGCAGGTGTAAGAGCCCAGGCGAGGCAAGGAGGGCATCCATGTAGGAAGGTGGAAACCAGACCCCAGGCAGGGTGAGGAGGGTATCTGTGTGCTGGAGTGGCCCAGGGTGGGGAGTCAGAGCCTGAGCAGGGGGAGGAAAGTGTGGGTGTCAGAACCCTGGTAGTGTCAGGTGAGATTCTTGTTGGGGAAGGTAGGCAGGATCACAGTGGTGGAGATGGGAAATGTGTTATATCCAGAGGGATCGATCATATAAGTAATGTGTGTATAAATATATTAAAGATATTGGGACCCAATTTTTCAGGGAAGGGAGCTGCAAATGTGGAAGGAAAAAATGAAAGTAAATGCTGTGATGTTGTATTGGAATCGGAGGTATCATCATAACCTCATGATTGTTGATGTATACATTAATATATAGAGAAATAAATATAGATATGACTGCATGTATATCTATATCTATGCATATGTACATACATACATACATACATATTCTCTAATTGTCCACTAAGAGAGCCTAGATGTTGGTTTCTGAATAGTATGTTCCCTAAAAAGAACCAGGGCCCTTGGGGAAATGGGTGAGATAAACCTGGAATATCTTGTTGTGCCAGAAAGCAGGTAAGTGCTCAAAGAATGATGTGAAACACATCAAAAGGACACAAGAGCCATCTGATGGATTTCTACTAGCTAAATAAGGGACAAATTGGACATTAAGCTAAATAGTAAAGAATTAAACCCACTGAATATAATAGGAAGCCATGAATTCATAAATAGATACATGTAAATAAAATACTTGTAAATTACAAAGGGAAAGAGAATCATCTTGTGGACGAGAAGCCTACAGACACCTCCATAATCAAGTGATTAAAGTGAACATCATTAGTAATGGGTCAAGTTGAAATTGCACACCATCTAATAGGATGCAATGGAAAGAACACAGTATTGCTTCTGAGATATTCCTGCCAAAGATACACAACATAAATCTCATTATGAGGAAACATCAGACAGGCCCACATTGAGGAACACTACAAAATAACTGACCTGTCATCGTTAAAAGACTGAGAAGCTGTTCCAAACTAAAGGAGATCAAAAAGACATGCCAACTCAATGCAATGTGTGATTCTGAACTGGATCCTCTTGCTATAAAGGAGGACATTATTGGGATGATTGTTGAGACTTGAATGGGGTCTGAGGATTAGATGGTAGGGATGTTAATTTACTGCTGTTGGTGGCTGTATTGTGATCATGTAGGAGAATGTACTTGTTTGTAGGAAATATACAAACTATACAAACCATGAGGCTTCAGGTTGGCAGTTTTTTGTCAAACGATTGAAAAATTATATTATACTTGCAACTTTCTTGTAAATTTGTGATTGTTCCACAATTTAAAAATTATTACATAAAATGACTTCTTATTTTTTAAAAAGAATACTTTAATCCACTTGGAGCTTATCTTTGTGTATGTTGTGAGATAGAACTAACTTAATTTTTTAAATACTTTCATGTAAATAACTAGTTGTTAACACTGAATACAAATTTGAAAAGTGATATTCTAGAGAGAGGAGAGAGAATAGTTAAAGACAGGGACAGGAAAATGAGGGTTGAATTTAGGGGTTTTGTTTGGCTAGACTATAACTCATATGTGGACTGGTAAGGGGTCAAGCTGGAAGGGTAAGTTGGGGCCAAATCATAAAAGGCCTTTAATGTCAAAGTGAGGATTTTGCACTTAACTCTGCAGTTTATGGGAACCATTGAGAACTTCAGTGAACGATCCTTTTGGGAGGTCTTCCCTACTCCCTCCCACTTCCTGCTAGTTGAGTGTGCTTCTTTTGGGCTCCTATAATGCATTCTTTTGTATTTTCTCAATCTCTGTCTCCTCCTCTTTCCTTCTCCTTCTCCCATCCCCTCTCCCTCCCTTTCCCTACTGCATTGACCTCATCTATTTCTGAGACAGCTTCCCAACCAGAGTGGTGTTAGGGACTCTTATTGTATGTGGCAGTTAGCACAGTGCCTGGCTAATAGTAAGTATTCAATCGTGGTTACCAAACAGACCTCAGGAGATGAATTTTAAGAAGCAGACTGGTATCAGTGGATGTGGGAGAGGCCAGGCCAGGCTTGGAGCTGGAACATCACCCAGACAGGAAGTAGTAATAAAGGCCTCTATCAGAGAAAGGACAGTGGTAAAAGTAAGGCAAAAGGGGTATTTGGGAATGACCTTGTGGTGTTGGAAGCTGTATTTTGGCAAGTGGTAGAATACAGGGGGTGAAGAATGTGGTAGAGAAGGAGTCTGAGGTTTTTTTTAAGCCTCTCAGGACAGGAGACGAGTCATGCCTACAACTGAAACAGGAAAATTAATCAGTTCAGGATCTCAGAAAGTGAGGACACTTACAATAACAAAAAGTATAACATTACCTTATAATTGCTTACCATCCTGTAGTTTTCAAAGTTCATCATCTACACCTTTATAGCGATAAATACCATTGAACACTCCAAAATAGGGAATCCTCTCCAAAGCGGGGACTACAAATAAATTGGGACTTCCTGGCTCTTCCCTGACATTTTTGCCCAAGAGCCCGCATTTTAAAAGTGATCAACCTACTGACCTTGCTGTTTTGTTTCTATAGAGCTCCGTAGACATTTAGCTGAGGGAACGACCATGAATGTTTGGAGCTGAGCCCTCAGGCTCCTGTTGGTTTAGGTGGGACTTGATGCTGTACCTATAAGACATCTTGTTACATGAAGTGCGGCTGATGGGAGAAGCAGGTAAAAATCCAGGCTCGTTACACCTTCCTGCAGGCTGGCTGCTGTCAGCTGTTGATTTAGTTCAATGAAGATCTAAAATTATAATTTCTGAGCTTAAAATTGTCCCCATTCTCTGACCTTCAACTTATCTTTCAACATCTGCTGTCCCAGCTAAACTAGAGTTACTTGCAGTTCCTACTATAAAACAGAAAATGTAACAAGTGGTAATTGGGGGGGGGCTCCCTAAAAGGCACCTGAAGCTGTCTCTGATGTCCCTTTACATTAATCTGTTTACTTCCTAGAACAGGGGTGGGCACAGTATGGCTTATGAGCCAAACCCAGCCTTGCCCATTCCTTACATGTTGTCTGTAGCTGCTTCCGTGAACCACAGCCAAGCTGAGTAGTTGCAACCAGAGGCTGTATGACTTGCAAAGTCTGAAATAGTCACCATCCAGCCCTTTACAGAAAAAAAAAAATGTGCTGACTGCTGCATTAGAATGTTAACACCGTGAAAGCAGAGCCTGGGTCTTGTTCTCTGCTTTGTCCCCAGAATATGGAGTAGTGGATGCTTTTTCACCTTCTTCTGCACTGTTTCCTCTCTCCCCTCCTTTCCCCCTTACTCCTTTGCTTCTTTGGCAGCTGTAAGAGGATGAACATGGCAATCAGTATTGTTCAAGACCAAAGAGGCTGCCTAGCTCTGGTGGAAAACAAGAATTGCACCAGGGCTAGGCTGTGTGCCTGGAATGCTGTCTGACCAGGTGCTATGCAGTGTCTTATGAATGAAATGTGCCCCCTGAAACTCACCATGACTCAAAACTGTGGGATCTGGCTACAATAATCTGTGGTCTCTTATGAAATGTACTAAAGTATAAAACCAAGAAGAAGGCTTGGGTCTGGGCAAAGCATGTCTCATGAGATGTGCACATCTGAGCCTGGACATCAGGCAGCTGCTCAGGAAGCTGAGTGTGTGTCATGGTAAGCTGCAGGAAGGGCCCTGAGTAGAGTGCCTTGGGGGTCCTCATGCCATTTGTGTCTCGTGCTTAAAGTTACAAATGAAGCTAACAAACTGCTAAATAACCACCTTCATAATGCCCTGGGTTCAAATGTCATCTTCTTGGCCTCCTTGGAGTTCCACACTGGCCTGTGGTGGTGCACAGCCCACTCTCCCATGGCTCATTCCCCTTTTCTTCCTTCCCCTGTTTTCCCAAGTGGCCTCGTGTGCCATGGGTGGACACTAGCCAGCACAATCCGGGACCAGCCTTGACTCAGCTCACACAGGCCCTAGAAGTGGGCTTTAGCTCATTTGGACAGGGAATTGCAGAGTTCTGGGTCCAGTGGGCATGTCCCCTGGGACCTGTGGATGCTTAGCCCTGGGAGAATGAAGCCACTTAAGGAGGACGGCAGTGGAGTGGGGCTGCAGGGAAGGCTGGATGGCCTACCAAGCCATTGAATTTTTCTGGAATGTGCTTTTCCTTTTCTATTAAAACAGTGGAAACAAAACAATCCCACAAAGGCTTAATTTGTGAATATTGAGGTATTTTCCAACTCTACAAGCCTATGGCTTTATGAATCTGAAAATTCCAGTACTTATGCTTTCCCCAACTTGACAATCACCTTGGACAAAATGTGGAGCAATCCTCCCCTGTTATCATCAGGAGTCATGAACTGTTAAGCTCAGGGCACCTGCTCAGGCATTGAAATGCTGCATTGAGGAAACCAAGCCCCAGGTCGCTGGGGCCCACGGGCTGAGTCCTTCTGGTGCCTGAAACAGCTACCCCACAAGGGTGAGGCTGCTTTATTTCTAGAGGAAAAGCTCCTCCCTTGCCCCATAATCCCCGCAGGCCTGCTGGTGCAGAACTTCCTCCTCACTGGCCACAGTGAAGGTGCCCAGGCTGCCACAGAGACCCTGTGCTCCAAGCCCAGAGCTTTGCTGATGGGTTCTCTGCCCCATTTTTCTCTTGCCATCTCTTCAGGAGAGCTAGAGTGGGCTTTTCACTCAGGTTGAAAGAGATTTCTCTTTTTATCCCAGCTATTCCAAAATCTTGAGCTTCCCAAAGAAGAACTGGAAACTTAGAAATTCTGGCAGCACATCATACGCCTGGAGCATCTCTTGACTGGCCATGTTTTCTGAACTGACTCTTCCATTTCCTCCTCCTTTTCCTCATAAATTTCCCTTATTAACAGACTGGGGCATCTTTCAGTAGAGTCACACATTCTCAGGAGATCTGGGCCTAGCTTCCAGCTTTAACCCTTTTCAAACCTAAGCAAGCTGTGGCTTTGCTGCCTCCTCCTTGCTTTGTGGCTTTTTGTTGTTATCGTTGTTGTTTTTGTTTTTGTTTTTGTTTCTGAATGGAGTCTCACTCTGTTGCCAGGCTGGAGTGCAGTGGCATGATCTCAGCTCATTACAACCTCTGCCTCCTGGGTTCAAGCAATTTTCCTGCTTCAGCCTCCTGAGTAGCTGGGATTATAGGCACCCACCACCACACCTGGTTAATTTTTTTTTTTTTTTGTATTTTAGTAGAGACAGGGTTTCACCATGTTGACCAGCTGGTCTCAAACTCCTGAGCTCAGGCAATTCACCTGCCTCAGCCTCCCAAAGTGCTAGGATTAGACGTGAGCCACTGTGTCCAGCCTGTGGGTATTTTCAAAGCACGGCATCCTCCTGCTCCACTTGCCCTTTGCTGCTTTTTGGAGGCATCATTTTCTTGGACCCACTTATTTTCTGTCTATTTTTCTTGCTGGGTTTTCATAGTTTGCTAGGTTTTCAGTTTGGTGGGTATTAGTTGAACATATTCTGTGTGCCAGGAGCTGGAAAAAGCAGGATGAAAAGACACAGACCTCAGGTGTAGTGGAGATAAAAGGTACACTGAGATTTTTCCTTAAGGGGGTGTGCAGATTTTACCTGCATCCAACTATATCCACTTCATGATGCCTTTCCGAAACTCTCACAGCCAAACAGAATGGCTGCTAAACCACCTCCCCTACCCTACGTAGTCTTTTTTTTTTCTTTTCTTTTCCTAAGCAGCCCCAAAGAGTGTAGTCTTCTTTCCTGTGATATTGTAGTTGCTAATTTAAATTCTGAGACCAGCCAGGGTGCAGCAGTGTGATGCAAGCAGTGTGACGCAAGCAGTGTGCTGGGCTTTCCCAACCTCTATCTTAGCCCTAGCTAAAATGGTCTTACAGTTTTGGTCATTGGTAAGTTAAAAGAAAAAGTCAAAACCAGATGAAGCTGTGGGGCTACCAAATTAGTTGTATAGTCTCTATGGGCAGTTATTTGCCTAGCATCTAGTAGGTGCAAAGTGGCAAGTCAGGAGGTGTGCAGGACTTAAAGTTGTGTAGCCCTTGCTCTCTGTCTGCCTCTAAACGAGCACAGGACCCTTCTTGCTGAAATAAAAATTTTAGCACCTTGTGCTCACTTTCTTCCTCATCCTCTTCTCAGCCACAGTTCCTGGGCCTCAGCATCTCTCCCCTTTCCCTCTTCCTTCACCCCGACTCTGGAGTCTATCCTCAGTATAATGAAAGCATATTTACGAAGAAGCCCATCTCTAGGTCATGGAGGGAGACTGCCCTGGCAAGGAAACCCACTTGTTCTCCTCATCCACAAGTCTTTGGAAACGTTTGGTTAAAAATAATTATTTTCTGAATCTTGGTGAGCATTTATGTGAACTAGATGTCCATCCTCATTCCTTTCTTTTGTTTTTTTCCAGAAGGAGTCTGGCTCTGTCACCCAAGCTAGAGTGCAGTGGCGCGATCTCGGCTCACTGCAACCTCCGCCTCCTGGTTCAAGCGATTCTCCTGCCTCAGCCTCCTGAGTAGCTGGGACTACAGGCATGTGCCACCACGCTCGGCTAATTTTTGTATTTTTAGAGACAAGGGGTCTCACTGTGTTAGTCAGGATGGTCTCGATCTTCTGACCTCGTGATCTGCCCGCCTCAGCCTCCCTGTGTGCCGGGATTACAGGTGTGAGCCACCACACCCGGCCTTCATTCCCTTCTAACACCACTGCAGAAGATGCACATGGTAGCATTGCGGAAATGGCACAGCAGCACGTGAATGAGGTCCTGAACTCTTCAAATGGTTACAAAGTCCTGTCGGATCTCAGGTCCAACCAAGGATCAACTCTCGCCTGTCCATGCCTCTTTGTCTCCTGTCCTAATTACATCTGTGAGGTAAACACTCAAATAAGTTGGGCAAACAGGCATGAAACTTAAAGTCGGTAATACTCAGCTGACAATGGATAATGTTTATAGGCATTACTAGTTGGGTGTTTTCTTCAAACTCTACAAAGACTTGACATGGAACATTAAGACTAGTCCATTCACTTCCAACCTAGTGTTGCAGAATCTTGCCAGAATGAGCAGTCCTGAGGCAATAACACTCACAGAAGTGCATGGGACTGACAAAGAGCTATGCACCCACCTAAAAAATGTCTAAAACTATACTAGGTGGTGCACACCAGGGAGACTGTGGATTAGGACAATTTGTGATGAGTGCATTTGCGTTTTATTTTTCCATGAAAATCACACACATGCAGACACACAGACAAACACAGAGAAAAGCAGATCCGCTTGAAATGAGAGCAATATGGAGGCCAAAGCTGCTAGTGGGATGGCCCGGGGTTTCTAACTCTGTGGTCTGGAGAAGAAGGATTTTGTATTTGTTTGGTTTCACCATCAAGTGTTCCGGGTGAGCAAGTCAGTTTCAGTTTCCTTCTGAAAGAGCCTCTTTCTGAATTCGCTGCACGCTCCTCGTGTGTTTGTTTTCTGCTGCAGTGGGGTCATTTATGCTGGCCAGTCCATTTGGATGACCATATGGGCACAGGCTCCTGCACCTCCAGCTGCCCAGAGTTCCTCTCTGGCTGCAGGAACGAGCAATGTGAAAGATCAGTCCTGTGGAATGAGATCACATGGACTCGCGTCATCTTGGTTTTCTGAGATGGTGTGACTACTTTTAGATTTCAAAAGCTAAACAGTTGTCAATCAGTCTCTGAAGGGCACTCAGCTGAGGGCACTGTGATTCCGTCAGATCACCTGGGTTATGGGCCATCTTTCTCTCTTTCTCTATGAAATCTATGAATCAGGTCACCCTGGTTCTAAGATCCAGGCATTTATTACAAAGACTCACACATATGAGATGTGTGCATACATGCTTACATCCTGGAGGGAAGCTACATCCATGGTGCTGTTTCCAAGGGCTCTTATGGGGTCTTTGGGGGCTTTTTTTAGCTTAAGAAAGTTACCATTATCTTAAAAGCCAAGAAATCCTGATTTAGGTCAGCCCTGAGGTATAGAATTCCCTTGACCACTTCCTGTAGGGGTGGCTCTGGGAAGCAGGAAAATGTGACTGGGGGAGGGGAGAGATGAGAGCTGGAAGGCAGGATATTAGGCTCCAGATCAAAGCTTGCGCTTTGATTAACAAAGGTGTCCATGTTCCTTGAGAAGTGGACACCAAGGTGACCTTTTTAACTGGAGACACACTGTCTCCAGCTACAAAGTGTGGGTTGAATTCCTGAACCAATGCCTGCTGTGGGGTTGGGGTAGTGTGGGTGAGGAGGGGATTGGACAAAGGCCTGATCAGTCTAGATGAAATGTGGTTTATCCCGTTATCTGATTTAAAATCACCTATCCCCTTAAGAGGATGACTAATACAGTACTTAGGGCTGAGAACAGGATTTGAGGTGGTGCGAGGATCCCCATCAAGGCTGAGGGTACTTCAGAAACTTCTGAAACTAATAGAAAGATACAAATTATATGGGGGAACTGGAACAGTGTAACAATAAGGATTAGAAATTGATCTGAGTTGTTCCTAATTTGGGAATGCACATGCGATGGTCACACAATTTAACCTATTTAGGATGTTTCTAAGTTGTCTGATCATCTGTCACCTATTTAATTTATTAAAACCTTGACCCTCACCAGTTTTAACAACAGAGTGTAAGATTGCATAAGACCTTATCCCAAAACATGTTTTCCAAGACGGAGTCCTTTGTAGAGTAAAAATGTTCTTGATAATCTAACATGCTGATTTCTAGATAAATATCCGTGTGGTCCTGGCTCACAATTTGGAGTTGTCAAGCCAACAGCTGGATTAACTTCCTGAAGTTCTCGCATTTGCTTAGGAGCAAGTAGTAAATTCTCTCTAGAACTTCTTGAGAGAAATTACCTTTTTCTTGTTTGAAGGGTACTTTAAAGGAAATTATTTTGAGGTGGTATAATGTAAACAATAATATAATTACTATTTATTTCATGACAGACATATACAATGCTATATAAAAGAATTTTCGCAAACCTTTGTAAAGATAGTATGTTGTAAAGTCAGAATTAGGTTTTGGATGAAAATTATCATAAAAATATGCCAATAAGTGTGTTGCAGGTTTTCTAATCTTTGTGAACAAAAATGTAAAAAACACAATAGAAAAATGATCTCACCCAATAAGGGGTAAAAGTTTGGAATTAACTGTTGTAGATCATAGAACATTAGCACCCCTGATGTTCTGCCTGGCCCAGAGGTGATGTGGGATTAGTCCTTTAAGAGGGAACATGCAGGAAGGGGTGGGGAGACCACTGGGTAATTCTGGGAAACAATTTTGCTACCCAATTTTATATTCTGAGTTATAGAGTTATAAAAAGGATTCATGACTGCAAGTGGTTTTCAAAAATAATTTTCAACTGATGTCAACATCAATCACCAGATCTATAAATGGGAATCAGTGGCTGGAAGATCTCAGTAAAAGCAACCTTTCCCTATCTAAAGGAGCCTTTACTTAGGCATTTCTGGGCCCTCTGGAGGGTAAGGGGTGGGAAGACAAAGTCAATTTTGCCAAGTAGCCATTAGGTCTCTGCTGGTCAAGAGGAAGCGAAAAAATTCATCACAAGCACTGCTTTGGACAGCAGTGTTTCAATAATTAGCTGTATTTGGTTTTTCTTGCAATCAAGAAACTGGGCAGAATAAAAACTTTATGGGGAAATAAGGCTTTTGCATATCCTTGCTTATTGATTTGATTTGATTTACTCTCCAGGTAAGTCAGAAGAGAGTGGCTAATTCATCCCTCTAGAGTCCCAGGCTTAAGCCAAGGCATTGGGATGCTGGTACCTCCTCTAGTACTTACTCTAGCTCTCTCCTTCTTTGGTGGTGTGCTCTTTACATGGGCACTGTGTCAGGGCAGGAACCTGCAAGCACCTATTCCAAGAGTTGTCACAAGCCAGGAGACATACCTCTTATTGCTTCTTTCTCCATCTTCTTGATTTTTTGTAAAGAGCTAAGAGGCTCTTTCCTACAACAGGTGCTATTCCTTGATCTAACCAAATGTGTCTGCCACTGAAATGATATGCCAATTAAGCCTCTTCCTTTGAAACTCAAACACATGTCCAGACATAGATGTCAAGCAGCCAAAACATTCTAATATTCTCTATTACCTTCTCTGCTCCTTATTCCCCAAATCCAAGCTTTTCTGCTGTAAGCAAAAACATGGGAAAGTTCTTTTCAAAAATGCTCTCCCATACTATCCAAATGGTTTCCTGATTACAACAGGAACCCCTACAGCTACTGAATGAAAAGTTCTTCAGCACAGAACAGGGGGACAGTGGCAGGGACTTAGGAAGGATGTGATGAGGATGTGGTGTGGACTTGGTAGGGACCATGGTATGGGTGGGACTCTCTGCAGGAGGCATATCTGAGGCCTTGAAGCAACTCAAGCCCAATGAACCAGCTGGGCTCTGAGCCGAGGAGCTGCCTCAAGCTGTGGACTGCGTAAGCAGCAGGGGTACCTGGGCTTGTCGGCTGGCTCCAGCAGCTCGAGGGTGCAAAGGGAGGTCATGAATTTCATTCTGCTGTTTAGCAAAATTTACAAATACCTGGAGGTAAGAGAAGAGCAAGATTAGGTAGATATTTCCAGGAAAACAGCACCCTACACCCATCTACCCAGTTTGCTCTCTATTTTCCACAGTTCACATACAGCCCAGCTGGTATGGCTTGTGTCCTTCCCGGGGGAGGCTGGCCCACCCACGGAAGCCTGGCCACCAGTGCCCTGGTCAGAGCTATCTTCTTAGACTAGACTCCCGAGTGATGCCACAGGAGTTCCTGCTGGAGGACTCAAGGGACTTGGGCACCAGACATTGGGGTAATCAATGCAAGGCAGATTCTCAGCTAGCAGCATCCTAATCCTCTAACTAAAAAAAGAAAAAAAAAAAAAAGAAAAAAAAGTCATTGATCCCTGTTTGGCTCCTCGTTGAGTGTGCATGTGGCCCAGACTCCTGCTCGTGCCTTCCCCTGCTTAATGCTGATGAGAAGGTGTGGGTGAGCCAGCTCCTCAGGGGTTAAATGGAGACTTCCCTGTTTCCATTTTCCTTGCTTTACTTAACTTTCTTTAAAGATGTTTATTTTAAAACAAACATATATAAAAACACAAAACCCAGAAACAACCCAAATGTCCATCAATGAATGAACAGATGGATGAACAAAATGTAGCACATATACATACAAAGGAATATTATTCAGCCTGGAAAAGGAAGGAAATTCTGGCATATGATATAACACGGATGAACCTTGAGGATATTATGCTAAGTCCTCACATAATAAGCCAGACACAGAAGGACAAATACTGTATGATTCCACTTATATGAGGTATCTATAGTAGTCAGAGCCTTAGAGACAGAAAGTAGCACAGTAGTTGCCAAGGGCGAGGGGGGCAGGAAGTGGCGAGTTAGTGTTTAACGGGCACAGATTTTCACTGAAGCAAGATGAAAGA